TAATACAAAACTTCGCTAACTATCGAACGATGGCTGAGATTTAGACAGATAAAAACAGCCTTCCAAAATCTCCGACAGAACTTGAAAAAGTCGGGCCGACTTTTTCAAGTTTGTTTTCATTGGCTCGCGCTTGCGTGTGGGTGACATAGCCCCTTTAATCCTTTTGCTGTTCCGAATAGCATTACTTCAATTTTTCCTTTTTTGAGATTAATGATAAATTCGTTATCTCGGAACCAGGAGGCGAGGCTATTGATGTCTTCGCTAAGATTGTGTTGGATAGCATTCAAATCTTTCGAGGATGTGAGAATTGATTTGTCGGGAAATATTTTACCTCGCTTTCTTCCTGTGTGCGTGTGAGCGAAGTTTTGAGACCGCCTCATTTTGCCTCAAATTTTGGTTGTTTTCAAGTCGCCGCCACGAAAATTGATTTTGTCGATTTTCTCCAAAGCCAAGCGGCCTTTTGAAAAACAAACTACACCACGTTTAGTTACTTACTTATGCCTATCTATGGACAAGATATGAGCGAAAATGATTTTTTGACTGTGGCCGCGAAACTTCGATTTTGCTCGATTTTTACAGACATTCGCTCTTAAAAGTAGTTTCAATGTGCTTGGATTAATGTGAGGGATTGCAACATTTTGAGGTGCTGTGCAGTACACATTAACAGGCCACCAGATGAGTGTTAGATGAAGCTTATAATTTTCTGGGAGCAGTACACTCTACGGTTGTCTACTAACTGTCTACTGGCGTAAATTGTGTGCCAGTTAGGACAGTTAGTGAATAATATGTTAAGCAATCGACTTGTGGAAGTTATATAGCTCCAAGAATCTCCCGTTTTTGAGTTCGTACCGGTCTTTAATGTAATCGACCAAGCATTTCGTCCCGGTCTCATGTACCGGTTTGAGTTCGTCCCGGTCTCCTGTAAATACCCCTTGAGTCAAGATCGTCTGTTGGGTCACAAAGTTCGAACTTAGGACGCGTGGACATCGAACCAATCCACTGAATCAGAGTAGAAAGCAATCTTAATAAAGTTCATCTCGAACGAGGCTAAATATACAGTATCATACAAATTTTTAATTTATTGCTGAGTTTAGTTCGCATTTGAAGGTCGACGTTTATCCCGGCGACGATCTTCAGACGTTCTATTCGTCTGAAGCAGACGGATAGAACGTGTTGTACGATCCAAACTCATTAGGACAAACTTAACTGAGCCAGAACTTTTCATGAACTTAACTCACGAAGTCTGATTCGTCTTATGAAAAGTTCGACGTTTGGCCTTGGCCGTACTTATTGTATTACAGCTGTTTCGGATAACACGCAACCTGCGATGTAAAAACCGTCAAAATCTGAAGGCTCGGCGCTGCCATTAATCATCTTTAGACGTATGTTATTGAGCTCCGTTGATAGTCACTAAAAATCAAATGAGACATGGAAAATAGATCGGAAGAAGATCACAAGTTATCTCAAAGAACGTACGACCCGAAAGACATCAAGAAGGCTTAAGAAAAACCAATTTGTGCGAAGTAGATCAAGAAACCGAAGAAGGACAAGTTGAACTACTCGATGGACTTGAGGAACCTAGCGAATTGTCGATGACAGTGGGATAAGGTGACACTGGTTTGGTATTTCTCAGCGGTAAAGATATCTTTTCCCTGAAAACCGAAGAACTAAAGGCTGAGCTAGACAAACGGGGTACTTTGGTGGAACGTTTGCGCGCCGCCATGATATCTGAACATAACTCCCAAACGTTTGAAAATTACCAAAAACACTCACAAGTTAAGGGGACACCTATCAAGACGAACTCGCATATCCAAGATCAAGAAATATACTCATTTATAGAAACCAGAGTGAGAGAGGTATGCCCTCATGAAATCGAAAAGCTGCAAGTTCATCGTATGCAACAGGGGCACCCAACGATTGATTTCTGTAAAATATCTGTTCGGAGAGGCAAATATTGCCTAGATTTTTCTATTACTTGAGGACGGCTAAAAATTTCTAGGTGACCGTTCCATACATGTACAATTTTCGAAGCATATCTAATAAATTCCCTACGATTTTCTGAAGTTTAATTCTTCACATTTCACTCCCCAGGTTAAGCTAGATATCGTAGAAAAAAGGAAACCTAACCATGCTAACATTTTCGAATTCGAAACGCGATGGAGAGAGGAATTGAAGAAAAATTGTAATGTTCATAAGGCTTTAAATTACATATAAAATTTTGGGGAAAATATCGCTGAAGCCCTTGTAATTTCGAGAAGACTCAAGTTGCCCTAGGATGACCGAACAGATAACAATTTTTTAGCAATCCTTATCGATGAAAACAAAAGCTTGATGACCGCAATTAGACTGTTAAACAATGAATTGCAAACTGTATTGAAAGCGGACGGCGTGAGATGTTCTCGGCCCAATGAGCGTCCAGAGAAGAAAGAATGGCTACTCGTTGGCGCTAAAAAGAAAAAAGAAAAAACCAAAACAAAGGAAACAGAGAAAGACGACCCAATGATAATGACCCAAGTGACAACTAAAATTCTTGACTATTTCAGAAACAGTACAGACCACCCTATTGATTGGTGACGGCTATGATAAAAAATATTCAAGGTACACAGTTAGGGAAAGCTGTTGGCCATCGGGTAGTGGTAAAGTCGTTCTCTAGTGCCACCACAAAAGCCATGAAGGATGATCTTAAACCTAACTTGGAGCTTATGCCAGATCAAATCATTTTGCACGTCGGCACTAACGACCTCAAGCAGAAAGAACCACAGCAAGTTGCCGCCTCGATCGTAGATCTTGCTAGACAGATTGAAAACCCATCTGATGCCTCAATCACCATATTAGAGCCTGCTTTCAGAAGGGACAAGTTCAACGAAGCGGTAGCAATAACAAATAAACATCCGTTAAGAGTTACTCCCGGCAGAATAGATGAGAACTTATTCAGCATCGAAATATCTCTGAGAAGCGATTAAATAAAGGAGAACTGCATCTTAATGTCAAAGGCAATCAACAATTTTTTAAGAACTTTCAGGCAAGCCTAGGGTGAAATAATGCGCTATCCACTAATGCCGTGCCTATTCAACGTCCTACAAGCAATACCGAGAAATCTCATATGCCAAATCATAGCGTTAGCGAGCCCAGCTCATTATTGCCGTCTCGTCGCGGTTTTAATTTAGCCTCTTTAAACATCAATATAGATGAACTTAGAACAGGGGCACCTAACGTCAGGTTTCAAAAGACGATTTGAGATCTAGAATTTTTGGGGCATTTGTTGTAAAATTTCTTGCTTGCCTGCCTCTCCTAGGATTTTCGAACATCTAAGAAATGGTAAAATTGCCCATTTTTAACGAATTCTTACCCTAAAAAGTTCACCTAGAATTTTCGGGAGCCTTTTTTCTGGCTGAAATTTTCAAAAAGGTAAGTGTTAATCCCTATAATTTTGGGATCACTATAGACTTTCAGTAGGAAATCCGAACAGATGAAAAATTTTAAGGGGATAAAAATATGCCAATATCTACCGTTTGAAAACTAAAATACGTTCGACAATGCTATGTTTAAGTGGTTTTGGACTATATTCTCGTTGGGTGCCCCTGTTAGAATCCTTCTCCCTTATAACGAAATAGATATCTTATCAATCAATGAGACTAAGCCCAATGAAAACTAATCGATACGTTCCCGCCAACATTTTGCAGCTTTTGCTCGTTATTGCCGCCTTTATCTGACAGGCAAGGGTTGGAAGCTATGGTAACGGTTTGATTGACGTTGAAGACTATGTTATCCGAAACAGCTGTAAAGTAAAATCAATTTTATTTAACAATTTGTTTATTGGCTTTGGTAACCGGACGACCTGTACCAGGTAGCTACTTCCATTGCAGAAGAATTTACCCTGCACACAGTGGCCCCAAGGCAGGGTAAATTTAAAACTTAAAAACTGTCAACACGTCTCGCTTCATGATGACTGCATTTTGCCTGTTGTGAAAGCTTTAATTATCGTTTATAACTAATATTTTCAAGGTTTCCAAGGCAGCAGAGTATTCAGCGAAGCCAGACGAGCAGTTGGCAAATAGACTAGGCACTCATTATGTTAGAAAAATTTCGTATGGTGGTCAGATGGTGGCAAGTATCAAGCTCAATTTTTCTCAAACTTCAGTGAGGTATGTTAAGTTTATTTTCTTTATTTAAAATTAACCATATAAGGTATTATTTCGATAAAGATTTATGACAATACTTTTAAAAAGTCCTTGAGAAGAAAGTGTTCGAAATTAAAGTTATCTTTATTACTATTAAACCTTGCAGTGCCAGTTATATAATTTGTTGTTGTTGAATTGGTACCTCGTAGCGGTGGAAATGGATTTGGGACACGCCCATAAAACAAGGTTCTGGCACCTTTTAGTGGTGCTCGCAAAATTTTCCGACGAGCACCCCCGTCACTTTTATAGGGGAGTACCCCTTCCCCGGGCTCTATATACCTACATAACGTCTTTTTGCCGAGGAAAAGAGGGAATACGACATTCCAAGCATTTTAATAGGGAAGAAGAAAAAGTTTTCGTTCTAATTTCAGCTCAAACTCACAGACAACTTTGTTCTCGAAGCCATTTGATGAGAATAAAATGCATTAGGCAACTCAGATGCTGTCGTGTTTTAAACTTATGTTATGGATGATGGAACACAAAATAATAAACAGAAAACTTTTTTTGAATATTTTTATTTAATTCTGGAACCGATGTATTCATCGAGTTAAAATCGCTTTACAATTCGATCATACATCCCTACTGACACGCAAAAACATCGGCTGAGTCGAGCATGTGGTGATTTAAATTCAGCACTAAATCCTTCTGAAAACGTCTACAAAACTGTATAAGAAAATTCATATTTACAAACGCAATTTTCTTAATCCATGATGTACAAAATGTACCTGAAATTGCTTTAAAACTCCACTGCAATGGTTAAATTTCAGGACAAAACGAGCGCAACAAGGTCAGATTCCTCGAAGGCTCCAAACAAATTTCGTGACTGAAAGCATCTGTTTTTTCACAAAAAGAACATTGAGCATTCTTTTGAACCTTCTCTTTCCATCGGTGTCTTTCAACAGTCCATTTTCTACCTCGCAAAGTGACATTTTACCTTTGAAAACCACTCCATGAAAAAAAATTCGCGGCGATTAATTTTATTCAAATTTCGGATCAAAAACATCCCAAGCGTCTCTCATTAGTTAATCTGTTCTGCTGCCAATCACAAGGAATCAGCTGAACTCTTTGCCTTTTTCTGATTGGTACATTTCGATCCACTGCCCACAACTGCCCACAAACTGTCTGCAGAGGCATTGTGACCGTTGGAAATCGCAAATTTTTAGGGTCATGCTGTGTTTGTTAAAAGTTTTGTCTGCCCTATTTGGACCTTGAGAATAGTTTATCTTCTCGAGTGTGCTGCTTTTTTGTACATTTCGTTGCCACCGTTTTACACGGCTACAACGTGAAACTTCTTAGTCAAACGTTTTATTGAGGAAATGTCGTATGTCTTCCTGTTCGCTTTATTTTTTCACCACCGCTCATTTTCATCTTGGTGGCCGCTTTAAAATTTTAATGTTTTTCTTGCAACGAAACTCTTCTCTTTTGGTTTTTTTACCTCTCGCTCTAGCTCTTTCTCGTTATGCGCGTCACGTCAGTTTAGACATTAAAATTTTGTGGGTAAAAAGACTCGCTTTGTTGTTGCTTTTGTTTCTAAAAGCGATGCGATCGGTGTACCTCAAAAACGCTCAGGTGCTTAAAATGCGAGAATTTCACCCCGGCTCATAGGAAGGGGTGGACTTACGTACGTAGGGAAGATTTTGTCAGAACGAAAATTTCTTGAATGCAAAGACAACCAAAGTTTCTAACCCATGGTGCTCCGCTACACGCGCCTCACGCGTGCGAGAGGTCTGCTATCACTTCCTGCTTTTCGAATTCATTTCCGCTTCCTCGTCTTTTATCGAACAACTTTTAATTGTGAAAATGAACTAATCAGCATGTCACGAGCGTAATCTCAGTCCCCGACATGATTCGAACCTATGACCTCCTAAGCACCGGACGGGCGCTCTATCCACTTGAGCTACGGAGAAGTCATGGAGAGCGAGGCCATATACTCAGACTTTCTCTGAGATGGAATCAGATTTTTTTCTTTGTCCCACGCTCGTGACATGCTGATAATTCATTTTCATATTTGTTTCACAGAGCTTAAAATTTACCATCTTTCATTCTTTCACAACTTTTAATTGTATTCTATGTTTTTATAATCCGGAAACGGTCAATCGAACGCACCCTTAATTGTTGTCTTACCCCAGTTTTTATGTGTTTTTTTGGGTAACTTACTGCACCTGAAATCTAAGAAGAGTTTTCCATTCGGAACACTTTTTAGACCTAGACTTAACGGCATTGTAGAGGGGGACATGACTTCCGAAGCTACTGCCGTGGCTTTGTCCAAGCAGCTGGACTCTATAAAAACCGAGTGCCGTGATGCATCCAACATTTCAGTCACTTACTACACAACGGATTTGCCTCGCCAAACTGGAAGTACCCACAACCTTGAGGAGTTAATGAGACTATTTCGAGACTTCAGATCAAAAACAAGCAGCGGCGAAATAAAGGAGACCCCTATTGAGGTAAGTTGTACTTCACTCAATGCTTGGGAGTATACATTTCCCAAAATTTATCATGGTAGAGGTGGGCTTCAAAGGCCAAGGCGGTTTATAAGTGAAAAGACGGCTATCAACTACTATATCGAGCTTTCATCGATCAGAACCGCAGTTCGAAGACTGCAGCCTTGTATCGGACAGTCTTAGTAGCCAATTGGCCGATAAACTACCAAAAATACAAAACAAAATCTGCGTGCCTTTAGGGCTATCACTATGTCTGATTACTATTCTGTCTATTATTAGCTATAATTTGTCCTTCGCACTAGACTAGGATGGGATGATCTTTCTACATCCAAGAAGGAAGTGAAATGAATGTTTTACGCTTTGAACCATCAATCTCCGGAGCTATACCTCCCGCCTGGCATTTTAACACCACTCAGCACAGGCTCTGAAAAACAAATCCTCTCTGCCCAAGCCTCACTCTTTCCGTACTACGGATGGACCCCAGGTTGTGGAATACTCTTCCACAGATTATGTTAGAGCCATTAGATCTTCACAAAAAAACTTAAATAGCGCGATCAATAGCTTTATGTCCACCTCGTAGTACTCCCACGCGGCAAACAAGTAAACCAGTTTTCCTATTTATTCTTTGTAACTGAGATAATTACCTTGTTTAAACTACAATGGAGGACAAAAATCCTTGGAACGGTTATGGAAAACCTTCCTTCCACATCCTTAACTTATCAAAATGTTCAGATGTAGCATAATGTGCACTTTTCTAACCACTTGGATACCGCGACTGGCCCTCCCCTCTCCCCTCCAAACAATGTTGGGATGAAGAAACACTTTTAGCACAGGGTAAAGTGTACAGGGGTGCACAAACTACAACATTGCTTAGGGGAGAGGGGGAAAGGGGGAAAAATTAAGGCAGATCGTGTTAATTGTCCTAAGAATTTTGTCCTCCATTGTAGGAGTAATCGGAGCTTAGGAGAGTGCGTTCGATATGTTTGTTAGGCGTACAGGTAGCAGTTGAGGGGGAAGGGTGGTTGCGATATAGATAAATATGATTTTGGCATATTTTGAACGTAAGGGTTGCATACAGCGAAACCTCTACTTAAACTGCGTATCTTTGTAAGACGCTTTTGAAAAGATATCGTATGGTTCGGTGTCAAGTGCTTGTATTTAGAGGAGACATTGGCCAGAATGCGTCGGGCGTGTAAATAGAACATTTTGTTTTACTGGCGCGATTACAGGGCGCAGTTGCTCAAAGGCCGATTAGTGCTTAACCCGGGATTCTTTTTCTTTCTTCAAAAACATTTCTTCGGATAATTTTCTCTGTTATTTTTAAGAGCATTCAATGATCAACTTGTTGACAAAATGAATTAAATTGACTTTACTGTTTTAAAAGCTTTCACATCTGAATTCAAACTTCGCACTATTAAACCCTGTGAAAGCCTTCAATGTGTGTGCTGCTCACGTCAATAACTTTTCCAGTAATTTGGTCGAGCGTGTTGATTTCAGTGACTCGAGAGTGGCGCCACTCTGGGCTGGTTTCAGTAAGTTTTTCCTCATAAAATAACATAGAGTTAAAGAGTTCGTTTGTCCGGTGCCGAAAATATTCCAAGTCATAATCAGATGGCGCCGCCGAGCTTCACATCTCGGTAGATTAACTTTGAGGCACAACGGCTGCCGTGCTACGCAACTCGGTAGATTTACTTTGTGACACAACGGCCGCCGAACTAAACCCGGTTTGATGCATGCACCAGGAGCAGACATTTTCCAAAGACAGCGACGAACCATGCTGAAAAATATGAAGGCCTATAATCCAAAGTAAAATTTAACAGCAAACTTCTGAAAGATGAACGCTTTGGACGATTCAGCAAACACAGATCGATGAACGCTTTACGAAGACAGAATATCAGAGGACACAAAAATCACAACGTGAGATAGCGCGTCAAAGTGAGGCAAATGTGTGTCGACGACGAAAATGCAATCTCAACAAATCCTCCCTTATTAATTGCACAGGACACCCAATAATGCACAGAACACCCATCACAAATTAGGGGTTGCGTTCTCGTACCTCAAACGCAATAAAGTAAGTGGTAGTGGGGCTCTGTCCCACGCGCGAAGCGAGTGAGCGTAGTCTATGCGGCTATTTAGTTTATGCATGCACGTTAATTTGTAAGATTTGAGACAATGATCTGACCGAGTATCAGGTTTGATATAAGCTTATAGAACTTTAAAAAGCCTTTAGACATTTTCTCACCGCAAATAGAGAGAAAACGTTAACAAAAAAAGAATATTTAGTTATAATTCTGGCTGTAAAAGAAAGCTTTGAGCGATTTTCTTGCCTCGAGTTCATCTTTGAAACAAATACCGGGAAGCCGGCTTAAAACAAAAACTTAAGCTTTAAGCTTGAAGACTCAGGATTTTTAGGGACACTTAATACTTACCTTCCTTGAATGAAAATTGTTGTCTCTGTATAATTTTGTTTCACCGAATTATATTTCTTTTATGGATTGTTAGTAGTCTCTCTTGTGATTTTAATAGCTGTGTCTTTTGTTTTTAGTCGTTCAGTGAACATAGCTTGCAGGAGTACTCAAAATGCCGCGCGTTTCAAACGCTTTTGAAGATTATACATCGATAAAACCATTAAATAAAAAATAAACATAATAAATTCTTTATTATGTTGGTGCGTAACTCTGCTAATGTTCATTTAAAAATTCGACCACAGCTCGCACTGCAAAAGTGAGGACCGGCTGGCCGTATAGGTGATATTGGACATTTTTTTAACGGGTTAGCTAAAAGCCCACGCGTGCTTCGATTCGATCGTCCTGAATATTGAATAAGTGCAATTTGTATTGCAAAATTGTGAAATACTGCATTCTGTCCGAGGTCTGAATGATAAAAACAGGGCCTCATAATACTGTTTCACCTCAGAATTGATGCATAAATGGTATAAAAGGCTGGTTTACACGCACCCAGATTTGCTGGCAAAAAATTCGGCCTGATTGTTTTTCGAGGCCCAATTAATCCACGGTGATCAAGAGCCATTATGGCTCTTAAATGTGATCGAAGATGATTGCTAGTTTTTGGTTGTACATATGAGGCTATCAACTCGATGTAAGATTTGGTTCACTCTTGGGCTGTCTGCAAAATATTTTTTCTCTAAAATCACTTAGCCTTTCCCTCAAAAGTCACATAAATTTGCTCTAAAGCTAACTGAATTGTGGATTACAAGTTCATTGTTTGATTTAAATTATAAATTTAGTAATGGGAGCTTCGCTTTTAGCCGAGGCTAAATCTATATATTATTTATGATTTGTTGCAACTTTCATATCCCTGGTGAAACAGACTTTTCACAACGTGTAATTCTTGGCATGTAAATGAGGGGCCGTCAAACTAACATTGATTGATGCTTGAACATCTACTAAGATCAGCACTGATTTGAAGAAATTCATAGCTGGAGAATTTTTCAACTTTTAATACATAAGAGTCTAAAACATTAATTCAGGTGTTTTCCTTCAAGTGCAACAATCGGAAAAAAGTTACCCAGTATCTGCAACATAGCCGAGAAAAATTTTAACACGGGTTACTCGACACTCAATTAAAAGAATGATATAGCTTCCTAACCAAGTTTTCTTTAGCAAAGTGGTTTTCCTAAGGATGAAACATGTATTTGTATACAGGGTAAAAACGAAGAAACTTCGCAAGACAAATTTTTATAACCCTGTTTTATTTTGCGCGAAGCCAGATTAGTAGATTAGATGCCTTATAATTGCTTATCAATTCGTGGATGGATAAGGAAGAATGGTATTCGGTCATCTCGCCACCAACAAAATGGCTACCAAGAAGAGGACTTATGTTTATTTCTTAAGAATTCCCAAGCATACATAACAAATGAAAAGAACTCTCATGAAAAGAAACCGTTACTTAATCATATTGCAAAGAAATGACTGGTGGTTACGAAACTTTTCTGCCGGTTTTTTAAATGATTTCGTGGAAGGTAAATGTCGAAATTTACATTAACCGAACCTGTCATCAGCACTTAGAGTATTACGATCGTGAAAAGTTCGAGGCAAGGATCGTCTATTAGGATCGACGGATTATATTAGAGTGGACTTCAAATTCGCTTAGGCTTGAGGAAAAAAGTAAAAATTCTAGGTAAGAAACAGGGGCGTAGCCAGCTTTTGGACTTGTTGTAGGCCTGCCTGACTGTGGGTCGTAATTTTTATTTCCACGTATCATGAAAAATGCTTGTTTATAATTCTGTCGATTGCACTCCTGACTATACGCACTGACCTCACCATCACATTGAGTTCTTGAGCTCTTTAGCTCACCCCAACAACGCACACTTTATTACAAGTGGTGGAGTGATGAAACCAAAAATTTGTGGGCCCGGACCTACCGGTTTATGCCCACGTAAGAATTACTATGTAATGTAAGTAAACGGTGTCAGTTGTTTCAATATTAATCGTTGGTGGAGATTTGGTTGGTGGCGAGATGACTGAGACTGCTAAGCATAATGTACTCTGCGCTTACCTCCCACTCCCCTTTCTCTTTTTTGTGCAATTAGGTGGAACTTCAACAAACAGGGACGCTAATACCATCAGCGAGAGCATATTTACCAAATATGGCTTTGACTAATGCGCTAGAGGAGATAGAAAGCCGCTTTGATGATCTCCGCTCTGCGCAGTATCTTGTTAAGAAGTATGGTCCAGAACTAGATAAAGAGAAGAGGAAATTTACCCAGGACCTGGAAAAGGTGTGCCAAACATTTATCGCGGCACTCTCTACATTAGACACTAGCGGAGATGAAAACCAGTTCGACGATTGCTTCAAGGCGTATGAAGATGCTTTGAACGGATTGGACTTGGAAGGAAAGTTTACTAATTTCTGGAGAAACCTTCTGTCAAAAAAGGTTAGACAACTTGCATAAGCTAATTTATCAGTATTCAAGTTCTGGATCAATTTAGGTTTCTGAGAAACTACTCACCTACCCCTCCCCAAAGCCAACATTTTGCCGTAAGTGAGAAGTAAGTGTTAATGTCAGCTTAGGGGAGGGGTAGGTGGGCAGTTTCCCAGAAACCTAAATTGATCCTCTAAAAAACACTTGACAGGGCAGCTGACAAAGCCACCCATCGACTGTCAGTTTTCTGTAAAATATTGCCTAGAACTTTTCTATTACTTGAGGACGGCTAAAACCAGTTTCTGGATGACCGTTCCATTCAAGTACCACTTTCGAAGGTCATCTAATAAATTCCCTACGATTTTTGGAAGTTTTATGTTCACATTTTACTCTCCAAGTTAGGCTATGTTTCGTGGAAAAAAGGAAACCTAAAATTTACGGATTCAAAAATGCGATGGAGAAAGGAATCAGAAACTGTCTCACTTTCGTACTACGTGAAATTGCTCGGCTAAACTGATTTTCGGGAAAATAATACTCAAGCCATTGTAATTTCCAAAGACTCAAGATCCAGTTGGATTACCGAACAGATACAAACTTAAGTTTGTATCTGTTCGGTAATCCAACGCCGCTTACAATGCATTTCTTGAGATCTAAAAGTACGCTGGATACGCTAAAAAGTGATTTAAATGTATATTTAGAAGGAAACCGTCGTCGGGTGCCCCTGACTCTGAGCTGGGCCCAGTGATAGACAGTCACATTCACGGACAAAGAAACTTACATGCATGCATGTAGTTATTCAGATCAAAGCATTTCGAAGAAAACCAAAGAAACTAAAATCTTTATTTAGCCACAATACTAATTAGAGCTTCAGGCTTTACATGTATCAGAGGTCAAAGAAAATTAAAACACTTTATAGCTACATCTGCGATCAAATCCTGTCAGGAACACCAACAGAAGCATAAACCACAGGAGATGATTACTCAGTGTGCATGTAACAAACCTGCTTCTGTGTTCATGACCCCTAAAATATGTAAGACTTAGTACGGCAAAAAAAAGGTTTATTCAGTCAAAGTTTAGAATGCTAAATGCACTCTATAGTGCTGGTAACCTTCGCGCAAGAGAGAAAAGAAAAAAGAAACGATCTTTTCAAGCAGACTCTTAAGGTCACGTTTCACATTATCACGAGCTTTATGAGTCGTGTTTAGCCTGTCAACGCTTATTTCTAACTGAATCGATCGTAACCTCGAGTCGTACAATTAAGTTTTCTGCCATGTTTCGGTCCGCATTTGGGAAGCAACGTTCACAGTATCTCCTAAGAAGAGGGGATTCCAACAAATCCTATGTCGGGAAGCCAACAACCACCACTTCTGCGAGGGCAATGGATAGGAACCAAACTAACGCAGCCATATAATTGCGGCCATGCTTGATTCAAACTGAAGTTACTTTTCAGCTGCATCGTACATGAAGTGGTTTATATTGCTCAGGGTATAATTCGATGTCTCTTATACCACGACTCGCTTTGACCCAATATACACATAGTTGTTTGTAACGCCTATATATATGAGCTCGTGTGGTACGCATATACAGCTATTTCGAGAAAGGTTGTCGGAAAAAATGTGTAATACACTGTTCCTAACGCTGTAGCAGTCGAACCTACTTTTGTTGCTTTCCTTTAGCACAGTCAAAGACATAAGTCTATGTCCTCTCCTGCTATTCTTTCAAATTTCTCTGAAAAACAGTGAACTCAAAACCACCCACAATACCTCTCTTTCGAGGTTGTCGCGTGCACGTTATCCGACAACCTTTCTCGAAATAGCTGTATATGCGCGTTTGTTAAGTGTATGTTTGCGTGGAACGGACGTATGAAAAGAAAATGGCCACATACTTGGGGGAAAAAAAACACAAAGCAGGAAGCAGGAAAGATCGCACGTATACGTGGCAAAAAACCGCACGAATATCGTGTCATAATTTTGAAACAAATGGCCGACCATATAGGCGTCCCTCTTTTTGCTTCTCTCTTCTCCTCCCCATCCCCTTCCCCTTAAGAAACGCTCAATACTCACCCTAATCACGAAATCAACACTTTAATTCTGCTTTAGTTGTGGGAAAAATCACTAACGCAACAAAGTGGTCAGTTTCAGTATCGTTATGTTTTCCCCGCAACTTCTGCACATCAAATTATCCCTTCTGGCCTTCTGCTTTGCCGATTTTACATTAAGCGTCTTTCAAGATGGCTGCCGTGGAAAAGGCGTCTCTAGAAACATTATTAACTGAAGTCGATAGAAGAGAAACATTAAGTGAAATTTTTGATAACGGTAATGAGAAAAACGTAAGTGATGCTCGTGTTGTCTGGTTTCTCTTCCTTACCGAGTCCTTCGATAGTGAAAGTTAAACTTGTGTTGAATCTTTTTAAATAATATTTAAGCTCTATCTTTGTATTTTATACTGTAAGCCGATCTTGCGAGTACGGAAGCCCAGGGGGGCCAAATAGTGATTTCGTTTTTATTTTTCGGCACTTTTGCATTTTTGTTTTTCAGTTTTTGATTTTCACTTCGCCATTTAGCTTTTCGGTTGAGAATTCGGTTTTTATTTTTTACTTTTCCGTTTCCGTTTTTAACGTTGTGATTTTCACTTAGCCATTTAGCTTTTCGGTTGAGATTTCGGTTTTTATTATTTAACTTTTCCATTTCTGTTTCTAACTTTTTTATTTTACCGATCTATTTCGTTTTACTTTTCAGTTTTTTTTTTTGGCTTTTAAATTATATAATGAAAACCAAAACCCAAATCTAATTTTAAAAAAACGAAAACCAAAAAGAAAACCAAAACCAAAACCAAAACGGACAGAGTAGACCATTATGCTTTGCTGGACGATCAATATGGCGGATCAAGGTGTCCATCCGGCGGAGTGCAGCTTTGTTGACGATGATAGCCCAGGTAAAACGAACAGTAAAACGAAATATATCGGTAAAAATAAAAAAGTAAGAAACAAAAATGGAAAAGTAAAAAAAATAAAAACCGAAATCTCAACTGAAAAGCAAAATGGAGAAGTGAAAATCAAAACGTTGAAAACAGAAACGGAAAAGTAAAAAATAAAAACCGAATCACTATGTGCTCCCCTGGGCTTCCGTATGCGAGCCCTCAGTCTCTAGTTTTGCGGTCTATAGAATGTGTAACGAAACTGTAACGCGATCAAAATAGCCCATTTTTCAGAGGTTTTCGACGGGTTTTGATGTTCTAAAGACAAACACATCTCCTTTGGACCCTGTGATAAAACGTGTAAGGGCCTGTTTACATGGAGGTGGGGTACCCCAGGTAGGTGAGGTAACCCTCTTAGGTGGGGTAACCAGCTTGTCCATATTAATCTCTCATTTTAATTTGATCACGTTCACATGATAGGTGGGGTGACCCGCCACATGTTACCTCACCTATCTGAGGTCCCCCACCTCCATGTAAACAGGCCCTAAATAGGACGTTTCTGGAAGTTTCACGTTGTAGTCCTGCAAAACAACAGCGACGAAATGGACAAAAAAAAGTGTGCTGCACGTGCAAAATTGTTTTTTTGCTAAGACCTTTTGTTGTTTTTTTTCACCGTTCTCGTTACCTTCGCCGCTTAGCATAACATGATTTTATATTTTGTTTGAGCAAACTATAAATATTATCGAGTGCTTCGCTTTTAGCCCTGGCTAAATCTATATATTAAGTTAACTGTATATGATGTCCTCGACTTTGGCTTCATCTCTGTGTTTTCGCACTACCTTGTTAATCTTAAAATACATAAAAACATTTTGTAGCCCAGAGAGTAGTGTTGAGAAAGAAGTGAAGCATTATGGGGGCTATTATCGCTTCCACATGTGTTTTGTGGAGCTGGCGTTTAAAGGAGTGCTTTGCACTCACCTCGGTGATAAACGACCTCTAACCACGGCTTTATCGTCCCCACGGCTACTCTAGGCTAATAGCCCTAATAATGGTAAAACAGCTGTCCGCTGCCCGGGTGATATGACTGTACGCATGCACTGGCTGCTAGCCATACCGGGGAGTTTGGTGACTGTGTGCTTCCTTGCTGTTTTGGTTTTTTCTAGGGCATTTTTTGACACGGGTAACTCGATTGCAAAGTGGAAGGATTTTGTATACCACAGGAGGGAAGGGTAAAACAATAGAGGCGCCTCCTCCCTCCTGGGATACCAGGACTATTTCACCGTTGAGCGCTTTTAAATTCAAAGACACTCAGATAGAACCAATAAGCAAGCGTTTGTCATACCTACATTTTCACTGTTCTTTGTTGTTGACGTTGTTTTCTGGCATCAAAGAGACTGATTTCGATCCTCAGTACCCTTCTTGGCGATTTCGACAACGTTAGAACACGAAAAGAGAAACTCAGATGAAGTATACCTCGTCATGTTTAAGCTAAAGAAGTTCGCGTGACTTGGTAACGCCATCTTAACGTGGAAATAGTGTCATGCAAAAAAAAATGGCTTTCTTGAATCTGAAGTCTGGGAATTTTGTATGGTAATAAAATGTGACAAAATGGACTTTTAACTAATCAAAATTTACAGAATGATGCTACATACTCCATTATACCATTATAAAAATATTCTAATCATTATTTATAAGCTAACAAAAAGTCAACTTTTTTTCTAGGCAATACTGTCCACCATCCAGGTAAGATTAGCATAATCGAGATCATACAAGGGTAAGGATAGTCTTGGTTGGTAATAAGACCTACTATCATTCGATGCAAATTTTTCTTCCTTTTCATTGGCCGAGAGCCCACCACGTGACCTGCAAATAACTGCCTACAAATAATGTCTGCTCATACGCGGAGTTGTCCAACTGTATTCGGCTTCAAATAATATTCTGCTCATGCGTAAATGAAACCACGCTATTCTCCTTGCACTCGCTCTTGCGTTCGGAAAATGGCAGAGCAAACTCGGTGACCGAATGATAAAACAATTATTGAACTCAGTTATCCCAAAATATCTTGATGTCTCAGTGTCTCGCAGATACATAAAATCACGATATTTTACTCAACCTCGTCCAATAATTGTTAATTGTTAAACTCACAGAGAACAAAGCAATATTGTTTATCAGTAAATGTTTTAATTCGTTTTATCTGTGTGCTTATCGTCGTATTTTTCTACCCTACTGACCAATTTTCTTTTCTACCTAGGTTTAAGAGATTGGCATAACTGACAAAAACAAACGATCTGGCCCGGCCCTTTTGTTCAAAAGGTGGATAGCGCTATCCACTGGATAAATCTCTATCCAGTAAATAACGTAATTCGGTGGTTTCGTTAGTACTTATCCGCTGGATACTGATTTAACGCTCAAGGGCCTGGATGTGTTATGGTTTGTTTTCAGTCAAGCCCTAACTTCAATCAGGTTCTCGTAGCTAATAGAACATTACCTAATATCCCTGTTCGTTTGATAAAGATAAAGATAAAGATATTATCAGTGGCACCCAACGACTGAATCTTTTCAAATAAGTCAGAAGTGTCTCAAATGGTTTCCTCTATGCCTTAGAAGCTGTTTGGTTAATTTGTAGTTGTCCTAAAAACTATTTAGCGCCCCTCATGCTGACAAAGGCAAGTTAGCTCTTCCCCCCCACCCCCTCCTGGTCACTTAAAAATTAGAATCTTAAAAGTTATCCCCCTCCAATAGGCTATGATTTTACATGGTGCCCCCTCCCTCCTTTCCTGATAATTATTGCACAGTCCCTTATCTGTTTGTTTGTCCTTGGCCCGGTTCAGACGCCGAACTTTTTATGAGCCGAACATTATACATTGAATTAGGTTCATGAAAAGTTCGGCGTCTGAGTCTATTAGGAACGCCTATTTCAATTTGGAACGGCTCAGCCGTTCTTCCCGCCTAGCCCGACCGGGAATTTCGCCTTTGGAGCGACTTTGGAACGGCCTTAATTCAAGCGACAAACTTTTCATGTGCCGAACCTGATGCATATCATTATAACGTATTCTGCAAGAAACGAGCAGTTTTCTCCTCTTGAATTTAGTTCGGCTGGAATTAACATCGGTGTTTGAATCAGTTCAGCAGGTCTAAATAATGTGGGTCGGCCTCAATTCGAATTAGGTTCGACTCATGAAAATTTCGACGTCCAAACCGAGCCTTAGGAAACTTTGGCCGTCTCGAAAGTCTTAGGTGGCTTTTCGTCTTGCCGTGACTGTTACAATACCCTGACGGGTCCGGTCAAGGGCAAGGCATTGAGTATCCGTACTTTCATTAGAAGATTATTGGGGGACGTTTTCTCTTTCTGTCGAAATTTTCAGGAGACCTTCTTTTAAACAATAATGGTAATATCTTGGTGAAAAATTGTGACAAAGTAAGACCTCCGAAAATCGTAGGTAAGTTAGTAGAAAAACTCCGAATATCTTAGGCGAGTTGAACGGTCATATCCAGAAATCTTTAGCTTATCTCGAGCTCTTTTAAGAAATTCCGAGACAATAATTGCTCCGTCGAACAGTTAGTTTACCAAAAAAAAAGTCGTTGGGTGCCCTTCTATTATGGTACATTTTCTTTTTTTTCTCATCGAGCCATTTTCTTTTTTTTCTCATCGAGCTTCCACAAGGAAAAAAACTTACCATTGCTGTAATTGGAAAAGATGGAAGTGGAAAAAGTGCAACCGCAAACAGCATAGTTGGAGTGCAAAGTTTCCCCACAAGCGCATGGGCAAAGTCTGCAGTTTCATCAGAGCTCCAGTTTGGGAGCAGAGAAGAAGGAAGACAAATTGATGTGGTAGAAATACCGGCATCTCTTAAACCAGAGGCCTTCCAAAGAGAGGTCTCCGGACTTCTTGAATGGGCCCCAAAAGGATTCGATGCGATCGTTCTTGTAGCAAAGTATGGCTGTAGGTTCACTGGTGAAGACGCTCAAGCCTTAAAAAGTCTTCAAGAATATCTAGGCGAAAACGCCGGCAAATATATCATTCTTGTTCTCACCTATGGCGACCAGGCCGAGCGTGCAGCTACAGAAGACAAAATCTTGCCCAACCTTGATTTACACGTGAACAGGTGGTTACAAACGTTGCCGGACTGGGTTCAAAAGTTCATCCAACAGATTGATAAGAGAGTTATACTCTTCAACAATCTACTTAAGCCACACAGTGAACCTGAGGCTTACAAGAGGCAACTGTCAAAATTAATCCAGGTAAGCTAACGAACTTTAACGTTTGCTTCTGTCTGCGGTTTGTAAATGTTTCAGATGAATGGGTACAGAATGGTACCTCGAAAAACGTGGCTCTCGGAAAATTTTTGGCCCGATCTCGAAATCTCGGAGCCATTTCAGTGATGGGTCTCGAAGTCTCGTTTTCAGGTGGTTTTTGCGTCTCGGAGAATAGAATTTTTAATTTTTTTGGGACTTTCAGATTTGTCGCATTTTTTGTTTCCGTTTGGTCTTCAGGAGTCGAATTTTTCAGAGTGCACGGGTACAGCTTATCGAAGTGGGCTCAGTAGATTTTGACAGTAAAACAAGACTAAACAATACTTGGCGGGCTTCCGCTAGCTTCCATTGGCGTTTTACCCTTATTTGTGCCATTATCTCTTGACTAATTTTTAGGCTCTTTGAGTCTCCATTGGTAACAACGCGTAGAGTTTTCATCTCGCAGCCTCGCAAAGTCTCGATTTCACCGTCATATACCCCTAGACAGGAGCTTGGGTTACTTTTTTCTTTTCTGGGGAGAATGCCATGTAGTTTATCTAGGCTATTGTAACACTTTTTGATGGCCCTCAAATTGCTTTTGTTTTCAATAAAATTATGTGCTGGTGGTAACTAGCAGAGGGGCGATGGACGGGAAGGAAGAATAATATTTGTGGGGAATATATTCCTATATGTCGCTTCAAATTTGTTTTTGTGAGCATCTAAAACGAAAAGGTTACATATGAGGCTAACGAAGACATCTGGGATCAAAATTAGATGCTCACATATTACGAGAAGATGCTAATCTTGTCCCAAATCTTTTCAGGCCATAGATGACATCACCAAGAAAACGTCGCCGTACCTGCAAACCCAGCAGGCAAAAAATGATTTTAAACGAAACATTAAAGAAGCTTCAAGAAAACCAAATCATGCTGACAGGGAAGGCAGTGTTAATCGGGACTCGTGTTATGTACCTATAGCTGGAGAACACGAAGAGCCCTCTCCCTATGAGAGGGTGAGGTCGTTCTTTGATACGCGCGGATGCTGGCGATGTACCATTTTGTAAACAGTATCGCACTTTTTGTTACCTGGCGCATCATTGTATATAACCTGATTACATACAGTCGTGATTGGTGTTAAACTATGTTCAGGACATTGTTAACGGACAGTTACTAGATAGTCTCAATAGGGCGCTTTGTTGTACGTTTTGCGATTAACTTTAGGCTCTTATGTAGCTTACGTTTTTTGCCCTTAAGTTAGGCTTTGCATAGGTTCCGCAAACGATTCTGCAAAATATACAGACCTTAAGAGCGACTCCGCGTAAATATCAAGTAGACGTGGAAATAGTCAAAAAATGGCCTGGCCCCAAACTCAGCCAGAATAAAGCCCTATGGGCCCTAGTTACAAAATCGTTGGTTTAAGTACGATCGAGTGAATAATATTTTTTTAACGAATTTTTTTCTTCCCGAGGCCTAAAATGGGCAAAAATCATGCGAAATTAGAGTCATATTCAGTAACTCGTAAATTTTAAAATAAAGTTGGCAACTAAAATATAATGACACTTCTTATTTATACTATCTTTCCTCTATAATTTTAACTGATTAGTTCGCGATTTGGTCAACAAGAGATTTTTAAAGAAATTTTCAAAGTTGTTGACTCAAAATCGCTTAATCAACCGTCAAAATTTAGCACTTTTTCACGAGCTAAAAAAGCGGATTGGTACATGGCTTTGAACACCAAGGCTTGTTTAGTCTGAAAGAGCATTCTTTTTTCTTCATATTGGCGAAATAAAATTTTTGGGTAAATGAAATCTCGAGCGCTGACAAAGCCAAGCAAATGTAAATATTACACGAAAAACGGGCGAAAAAACGTGACCTCTGACCTAAGCACAACCAAATGCGAATTATGGTAGGCGCCAAACCTTTAATTATTCGGTAACTTCTTGAGACAATATTGGTCCGAAATGTGTATGGATTTTTTAAATAAAGCTGAGGTAAAGTATTAAGTGTCAAAAAAAGCGGTAAAAAATACAACAAAAGTCACGAGTAATCTGTTCCGTTTTCTGAATTTTACGCAGCGATTTATGCGATTTAACGAATTAACAATTTTTAATCAAACGATACCCACCTGAGACTGTGTTAGTTTAAGAGTCCATAGAACTTCTCAGACGATTCCTCGGAAAGACCTCCAGAAGGAAATGAATGAAGAATTTGAACTTATAACTGTACAATTTCACTTGCCGCCACGGCAATGAACGAAAACAACTGTCGAACTGCCACAGGCAAACCAGCTTTCAGTGGAGTCATGCAAAGCATGTCACGTCCCGTAATTCTGTGCTCTAAAACATTTATGAAATAAAACTTAAAAACTTTGGACTGTTTCATCTTTGCCCTCCCTTGAGCGCAAAGGTGCCTCTTCCGCCGATATAATCTTGGACTTGATGAGCATCCCCACAAACGAAAAGTGGGAAATTTTTTTTCATCTTTGATCTCAACAACGTTAACCTCAATTTTTTCATTTGTCCTTCGCTTTATTTACAGACTGGGAAAATATGGCTAAATGTTTGGTTGCCTCTTAGGCCAAATTCACTTCAGGGATCCGGATTTCTTGTCAGTGGAACTTGTGGAAGGCACAAATGTAATAACTGGACCCAAGTGTAGTAAAGGTCTATCCGTAATAACATTTGAACCCAAGTGTGATAAAGGTTTCATCTGTCACGACTGAGATAATATGGGACATGTCCACAACAGCCTAAACATGGTTATCTTAACTTAAAAAGCTGACATCACGGTTCATGTGACCAAACAGAACTAGAAAAAATGGAACGAGAAAAAATGCATAGAATCTAACAATGGCTCTCAGTTAAAGTTTTGGCAAATTTTTGCTATGAACCGTGCTTTTAAAAAAAATTCATCGCTCCAGAACAAATAAATATGTCATTCCCGTTCGCTTACACAAAAGTGCCAGGCTAAACAATTTTAAACCCAGTGGACTGATCTGTTATTATTTTTCCCCTCTGTCTTCTTGTCATTTTCACTATTTCACTCACGGCTGAATTTTATTGATAGTATTTCATGACTGTCAGTACTTTGCAAAAATAAGTTCCCGCAAATAAAAATTACCGCACAAATTTTTCCCTCAAAAACTTACTCCGGAGGAAATACTGTATGCTCTAACTTAAATTCACTACACAAGAATACAGTACCAAGAAATCGTGTCTTTTCAATCACAACTGGTCTCTTTTTTTTCAGAAAAATACTGACGCACACTTAGTATTGTTTGAAAATATGTATTTCTATTGCACGTACTCAATAAAAACGACAATATTATCAGTGCCGGGTACCGGGTACTTTCTGAAATCGCAAAAATTGATCCCCAGCAAGGAAAACCAGTCTGTCCTAATCGCAAAAATTAGTTCTCACAAAACACAAAAAACCGCCAATCCGCAAGGAACCACCGAACAACAGGAAACCGAATGATTAGAAAGGCTCGCAACAAATATGTATTGTCTCTTGCTCCTCTAGGATACACACGATCAGGCACAATTTTGATATTACATAAATAAAATTATACTGTTTTTCGTCCTACAGGTGAGCCTCTTAACTCGAAAAAAATTGATTTACTAGCACGCGCCAGCATAAGCCTTGATTGGCTCCGAACTCAGAGTAACATATCTTTACCAGGGGGGAGATCCAGGAATTGTTCATTGGGGGGGGGAGAAGGTCCAAATTTTGGTTCAGAAAGGACTGTTGAACTTTTTTGGGGCAAATTTAATTACTTTTCCCCCACACCCCCTCCCACTAGTCACTGATAAGGCAGAGACGACTACGTGTTTCTCAATCTGTGAAAGCCAGTCGCCACTGGCACGGGAAATACTGCTTTGCGAGCAGAGGCGAACAGATCATTGGAGGGTACCCAATTACAATCACATTTTTTAATATCCTTGGAATTTAGATTAGTGGAAAATTACAACACGCGTTTCATTAAAAAATTCAGCCAGTTAAAACAGTGACATGCAATCCTATCGTTGAAAGGATTTTAGTCTCAAACAAGTATCGGGTCTGATGGGGGGGTCCGAATCCCCCGAACCCTCCCCCTGGATCAGCCACTGCTTTGGTGCCCTTTGATATCCTTTCTACAGCATTCGGTATAAATTCGAACACACCAATTGCTAGCTATAGATGCACGTTCTGAACTTGAAACACAATCATTATAAACAGCAGATAAAATAAAAGAAGTGCACAGCGCCCCTCGAGCAAAAACAGGGGGAAAAGTTATTCTTTTCTTTAACTAGTTGCAAAAGATACATTCCAAAGCTTGTTTTATTTCATAAATGTTTTAGCGCACAGCATGGAAGAATTTCTTCCCTCCTTCCCAAATGCGTGGGTAGGCTTTTGTACATTATGCTAGCATTTTTTCGAGCATTTTAGTGAGGCAAAAGCATTGAGCATTATTGGAGCATTTTAGTGGCATTTCCCCCGGAAAATTAATTTTTCCGAGAAAATACAATAGAAATTAACTTTTTTCAGGAGCCCATGCCCCACGAGCTCCTGCGTTTTTAAAGAAAATGAAGACTAAAACTCAAAACTCACAAAAAACCTAACACAGCTGGTTTTTTTGGCTGTATTTATGAACTTGCACACGTTGTCGTTGTTACTTGCAACACTTGCACGTTTTTGTAAGTGCAAACTTTGAAATTAATTTAAAAAAATTGTTTGTATAATGAGCATTATCCGAGCATTTTAGTGACTTTTTGGGGAGACCAAGCATTTTAGTGGGAAAAATGAAGCATTAAGGTGGAGCATTTTAGTGGGGAAGCAAAAGCATAAGGTACAAAAGCCTATGCGTGGGACAGAATTACGTGACGTGACATGCTTTCCATAACTCCACTGAAAGCTGGTTTGCCGGTGGGAGTTCGACGGTTGTTTTCGTTTTGCCGTTGCGGCAAGTGAAGTTGTTACAGTTATAAGTTCAAATTTTTCATTCATTTCCTTCTGGAGGTCTTTCCGAGGAATCGTCTGAGAAGTTCTATGGACTCTTAAACTAACACAGTATTAGGTGGGTGTCGTTGGATTAAAAATTGTTAATTCGTTAAATCGCATAAATCGCTGCGTAAAATTCAGAACACGGAACAGATTACTCGTGACTTATGTTGTATTTTTTACCGCTTTGTGGACTTTTTGACACTTAATACTTTAACTCAGCTTTATTTGAAAAATCTATACACATTTCGGACCAATATTGTCTCAAGAAGTTACCGAATAATTAAAGGTTTGGCGCCTACCATAATTCGCATTTCGTTGTGCTTCGGTCAGAGGTCACGTTTTTTCGCCCGTTTTTAGTGTAATATTTACATTTGCTAGGCTTTGTCAGCGCTCGTAATTTCATTTACCCAAAAATTTTATTTCGCTAATTTGAAGAAAAAAGAATGCTCTTTCAGACTAAACAAGCCTTGGTGTTCAAAGCCATGTACGCTTTTTTAGCTCGCGAAAAAGTGCTAAATTTTGACGGTTGATTGAGCGATTTTGAGTCAACAACTTTGAAAATTTCTTTAAAAATCTCTTGTTGACCAAATCGCGAACTAATCAGTTAAAATTATAGAGGAAAGATACTAAAAATACGAAGTGTCATTATATTTTAGTTGCCAACTTTATTTTAAAATTTACGAGTTACTGAGTATGACTCTAATTTCGCATGATTTTTGCCCATTTTAGGCCTCGGGAAGAAAAAAATTCGTTAAAAAAATATTATTCACTCGATCGTACTTAAACCAACGATTTTGTAACTAGGGCCCATAGGGCTTTATTCTGGCTGAGTTTGAGGCCAGGTAATTTTTTGACTATTTCCACGTCTAGTTGATATTTACGCGGAGTCGCTCTTAAAACGTATTTGTCTCTCTGTTCTCAGCAAGCCTGATCACCTTGGAAGGCGGGGTCTGCATCCATTTGAACACATCCGTCGTCGAGCTCATCATTGCCTGTTATTTTCGGTATTCTTGTAGATACAGGTGGCGAGCGGAGAGTTAATAATAACAATAATGATAATGATTTAATTTTTTTCCTTAGTAGTAGGAATACAGTCTGTATTAGCAGTTTAAATGGTTGGTATTTTAAATATCAAATTAAATGAACATTATTATTATTAAGTGCATTAACATTATTAATTATTATTAAGTATATTCTAGAGAACCAAGCAGATGTAACAAGCAGAATGATTGTTCTTATTTCCGGTTCTTCTTGTTGTGATTCTCCAATTTAGTTTAGTGTATCTGCTTGTATAGTTAGTGTTTTCTTCGGCAGCCTCGCATTTCTTGGAAAGATGAATAAGTGGCCATCGGCAGATGA